ATTCGTCGTGATTCGTACTCGTTTCCTTTGGACGCGTTCTTTTTGTTAATCGTTTGGCTGTGTTCGACGAGTATACTCGTCACGACTCGTATCACGACGAGTATAATCGTTGTGGGGAAGTGTCAGTATTTTGTGTCACGACGAGTATAATCGTTGTGGAGAAGTGTCAGTATTTTGTGTCACGACGAGTATAATCGTCTTGACGAAGTGTCAGTATTTTGTGTCATGACGAGTATACTCGTCGAATACAGAATAAGCATCGCTGTTAAATTATTGCTGTCTCTTATACACATCTAGATGTGTATAAGAGACAGCAATAATTTAACAGCGATGCTTATTCTGTATTCGACGAGTATACTCGTCGCGCGTAAAAAGTAGTGACCATTTAAATTGCAATTTTAGTGAAAAGGAAAACGTATTCTCGAATTTCAAGATTAAATGAAATCGTCTTTTTGATCCAATAATTTAACAGCGATGCTTATTCTGTGTTCGACGAGTATACTCGTCATGGAGAAGTGACAATATTTAGTGTAACGACGAGTATAATCGTCGCGGAGAAGTGTCAGTATTTAGTGTCACGACGAGTATAATCATCGTGGAGAAGTGTCAGTAATTTGTGTCACGACGAATATACTCGTCGCGCGTAAAAAGTAGTGACCATTTAAATTGCAATTTTAGTGAAAAGGAAAACGTATTCTCGAATTTCAAGATTAAATGAAATCGTCTTTTTGATCCAATAATTTAACAGCGATGCTTATTCTGTGTTCGACGAGTATACTCGTCATGGAGAAGTGACAATATTTAGTGTAACGACGAGTATAATCGTCGCGGAGAAGTGTCAGTATTTAGTGTCACGACGAGTATAATCGTCTTGACGAAGAGTGGCAGTATTTTGTGTCATGACGAGTATACTCGTCGCGCGTGAAAAGTAGTGAATATGGCCATTTAAATTGCAATTTTAGTGAAGACAAAAACATATTCTCAAATTTCAAGATAAAACAAAACCGTCTTTTTGATCCAATAATTTAACAGCGATACGTTCGACGAGTATACTCGTCATCGCGTTCTGAAAAGGAGGCGCCGCATCTAACCGTTTAAAATTTGCTGCCCGATTTATGTAGCGAGAAATAATCAGAGACTTTCAATGCTGACGTTGATTACTCAGGAATAGCATATTATAGTCTGGTTTCATTCAGAAGAATTTTTAGCGGATCGTAATGAGACGTTTCAAATATTTCAGCGATGAATTTTACCGTTCCATTTTCATTGGAAAAATTTTCAACGTTTTCTATTCGACGAAAAAGCCTCGAATGCCTCGGAAATTTACTTTTAAACAATTCTTAATACTTCCGTTCGTTGCCGAGGAATGAATCGTTACGTGAAACGAATGCAATTGTTAAATAGTCTCTGTAACAATTTTTAGCAAACAAGGATACAATTAAGGATAAAATATTTCAAATATTTCAGACAGTCTCGACGACGAATTTTATTCATTTTTCATTTTCTTCGCGAATACGTCGAGCGTCCTTTTTCAACGAGAATTGCTCGATAAAAAGATCATTGCGATAAATATTTTCTGTTCGGATTCAGCATAGCAGACGCTTCAAGTCGGCCAAATATAAACGTTTTCGGTTCGCACAGTTTTTCGGAAAATCCGGCTCTGGAAGCGTTTAAAATTTCAATCGCGGAATGGTCATTGAAAACTTCCCGGCAGCACACTGTATTGACTCCTAATAACGACGTAATTATTCGATTTTCCTATTCACGTCGATCCGTCGCGCGATTGAAATTTAAATTGAAAGTATCCCCCTCGCTCGCGGGACATTTAAAATGTCGATAATTCCGTGCGTCTACTGCAACGGGTCGGCGACGCCATTTTTTATTTTTTATTTTTTTTCATGCATTCACGTGTGCACGTACGGATTTTAATACCGCGCGATACACGTATTCGAACGTCGCGGTTTAATGCCGGATAACCCCGAACTTAACCCTCCGCGTACACCGGTTTCGATCAAATTTTTACCGTGCACGCAAGTCGTCGTGATCCACAAAAGGCATTTTTTAAATTGAAAATAAAAACGAGACGAAAGGAGTTAAAAAACGAAAGCCTCTCATTTCATTTGATTATTCCAAGTAACAGCAAAATTGAGAAAACGCGCTTCCGTCATTGTCTAGTAGAATAGCTTCTCTGTTATCTAAAAAAAAATCAATTTATTTAGTATACTTTTTAAAAAGTTATTCCATTTTAACCCTTCGGGGCTAAGCCCATCTAAATGGGCTAAAAACTGTCCCACCTTTTGCTGAGCTTTTTACGCACGGTGTTTCCATTTTGCACGACTTAAGTGCATTTTATATGTATATATTCTTATATGAAATTAATTATTCCGTCTCGTACAACAATTACGCTTTTACCAGTTTCTGAAATACAAACAAATTCGATAATGTCAAAATTCTTTCGAGACGTCACATAACAATTTTAAACTATGAGTCGAAGTCACCAGTTGAGGTTATGTTAAGGTAACCTCCTTGAAAAAGTTGAAGATACTGCTAGTTAAACAGTTTAATATTTTAATCTAATTAACAATACTAGACACCAACGGTAAATCCGCAAATAAGCGAAAACGAACATTTGCACGAGTCAAAAAACGCATTGGCAAGTTGTCGCCACTGTTGCGATTAGGGTTGGCGAATTCTGCAGTGAACTTTTTCCTTCGAAAAACAGTAAATTCTCTCCAATTGTCCCTCGGCTTGTAAACAAAAATGGACAATTTGAGAACAGGCTCGAATAATCGTATCTCCTCTCCGCAAATTGTCCATTTCCGATTACAAGCTGAAGGACAATCGTGGAGAAATTACGGTAATCGGCCGCGATCATGTTAACAGGCGAGCCCGGTAGAAACTTTAGAACTCCTAAAAGGCTCCGGCGATCATTCGTTGCCAAGTGTTCCCTCCCTCCCCCCTCCCCCCGGCAAAGTTTCGCATCAGCTTAATCATCCCGAATGTTAAACAATCGCATGCACGGTAGGATTAACACGCGATTATCGCTGTTTCATCTCCGGGCCGCGAGTTTCGTCGGGCTCCCGGGGCCCTCGCAATTTCATGGTCACGTACGTCGCGTAAAACACGTTTTCAGCACGTCGCCGACGGAGCGCCGCCCGCGCGAGAAAGCCCGACACCGTCGAGAGCTAGTTATATCGAGTTTAGCATTTGTTTGGCCGTTGTTCTTAAGGCGATTCCCCGTTCAGCCGGCCTAGACGACAGGATAAAGCACCAGCGACCCTTCAAATAAACCGTGATTTCTCTCTTACCCTTTCTCTCTCGCTCTCTCTCTCGCTCTCTTTATCTCTCTCTAGCTCTCTCTCGCTCTCGCTCTCTCGCTCTCTCTCTCGCTTTTGTCCTCTTTCGCTCTCTCTCCCTCGCTCGCTTTTCTGTGACCTTTCTCCGTCGCTCCTCCGCGGGTCTCACGGTCGAAGATTTATGCGCGGCTTGCGACCCAACTTTCTCGTCTAGGATGTGATCCGTGAGGTCGGGCCGGTTGCCAAGTCCCGCGCGACATTAGAGATTTCGGTAACACCGAGAAGAACGCCATTTTTCATCGCCACGGCCGACACAATCGATGTCTAGCCGCGAACTATTTCCCTACTGCTCTGCGCGAGGGCACCCACGTCTTCATGCAATGATTTTTTTGTCTTTGCGCCCTTTGACCCCTTGACTGGGGGCCTCGCGGGCCCCGGAAAGATTTTCTGTGCCGAACTCGTGGTGGCCATCTTGTCGAAATTCGTCGACGTTTCGAAGCGGTCAATGCCATCGTTTTTTAATTCCCTCGAATCGAACTTTGTACAGTCGGTGTGCAAAGTATTCGTACGCCTTTCAAAACGGAATAATTCTTTTTATAATTTGGCCGAGCTGAATTAGCACCAATAAATAAATAGGAATAAATACGTAAATTTGTTTGGAATATCATTTTTCAATTCTTTCATCGTGTCATCAAATTTTAACCGTCAAAATCAATTTTTTAGCCATTTCCTAATCATTTTTTAATCCTTTTATCGCGCCATCAAATTTCACGTTTTGGAATCAATGTTTTAGCCATTTTCTAGTAAACTGATCCCTCTGATATCTAATATAATATAATGTAATATATATAAATATATAATATATACGATAATATATAGTATACACAATAATATATAATATATATAATAATGTATGATACATATAATAATATATAATATATATAATAATGTAGAATACATATTATAATATATAATATATATAATATAATATAAAAAAGCATTTAGAACGGTTGGCGCAATGATGAAAAAAGGTACAAACGAAGCCAGCGGGATCCGGCTACGAAACGGCGTTATAGTTTCTTCGGAAAATATCTCAAAGGAAGTAGTAGCAAAGGGAAACGCGCTTCTCGCTGGGATACACCCTTAATTTGACGGGGATTGTCGCTTCGGTCGGTCGCAGTTGTGATTTCATTGATTGTTTCATATCCGGCTGACACGGTTCTTTCCTCGAGACCCGAAGTTCTGTTGACCTCGTTCGTAAGTTATTTTTCATCTCCTATTTTAAGAAGATTGTTCCCGATGCATTAGGTGTTCGCGGGGAAATTGGGGATCGCGTTTGGGAAATCGACGAACCTCGGACTCGAAAAGCTCCGAGAAAAATGATGGGACTTTCGGCGGTTACTTCGAACCGATCTTAAAATGTATTCCCAGTGGGAAGTTTTCGGCTTTCGAGGGCTCGGATTAAAGCCAGAAAGATCACGCTACGCGACGAATCTATTTAGGTTTAGAGATAAGGCGGAGAGATCGCGTCGGGAAATCGATAAATCCGCGTCCAACGGCACGGAGCGAAAGCGATCGGATTTTTATGGGACACTTCGATGCGATTTTAGGGGCACGATAGATTACGAAAATATTCTTGTTAAATTCAGCACTGGCTAAAAATCTTGGCGCAGATGATAAATGTATTTTTTTTGGAAAACTCACCAATCGTTGCCTGTTTTGGTCACGTTCTGTCGTTTACGTCCGGTCTGATGAGGTTTCGGCTCGGCCACCATGTTGACATCTGAAAACAAGGTAAAGCGAGATTGAACATAAATGATGTCGTAATATTTTCTGAAAATTGCAATGATTGCCAATTAGAAATATTTTCAAGCGTTTCTTTCTCGCGTTCTCAACGTTGCACATTATTTTATTACCAGACTGCAATGCAAACTTTCTGAGACGATTGTAAGAAAAAGAAATCAAATGGAAATAGCTTGTACTCTCTATTCATTTTTATAAGTAAAAAATAGCCTAACAGTGTTATTAAATTTGCCTTAATTTATTTTAACATATAAGCAATATTTTATTCTAACATGTATGCAATATTTTATTGCAACATATATGTATTATTTTAGTTCAAAGTATTATATGTATTATTTCATTTTAATACATATGCAATATTTTATTTTTACATATATGAAATATTTATGCGATACATATGCATGCTAGTTAGAAAACGATGTATTTATTCTTCATCCGATATTTCTGTATAATTCGAATTCAGTTGAGTTGTCCGTGCGCCGCAAGTTCAAGCGAATAATTGAAATAATTGATAGCAGGATTGAGATCGGAATTCGATATATTCTGAATATGGCCGATAGACTATGGTCCCGGAATTATTAGCGTCGCGATGCGGCCGGTTCTTATTCATTCATCCTGTCCGAGCCAGGAAGAAAAGGATATTTCGCTGACACAACGGCTCAACTGTTCTGATCACTCGAACGCATCCATTATCCATCTTAGCGCTATCAAGCTCGACACAGAGACGCGACGCAAAGCGATGAAATTAATAATTGTTTGCGAACACGTTCAGCCCTTCCGCAACAGTACGGTTTATTAATTCGCGTCGGTTATTATCGTGGACAAGATAGGCTCCGTACCATGGACCCTCCTTTAAAGGAGACACTGGAAATCTACTTCGGCTAGAGAACACTGTGAATTTTTCTCTGGAACTTCCTCGATAAGAAGGATTTAATAATATCGTTGCATTATTCTCAACTTGTCAAAATTATTCGAAGAAAACAACTTACGGTAATTTTGGAGGCCACTTCATACGATTCGAAGGCAATTCGAAAGCAATTAGGTGACAATTCGAAGGCAATTCGAAGGTAATTCGACAGCAATTCGAAGGCAATTCGAAGGCAATTTGAAGGGAACTCGAAGGCAATTCGAAAGCAATTCAAAGGCAATTCGAAGACAATTCGGAGCCCACATGACAAGATTGGAAGGCAATTCGGAGGCAATTCAAAGGTAATTTTCGGAGGAAATTCAAAGGCCACGATTCGAAGGTAATACGAAAGCAATTCGAAGGCAATTCGAAGGCAATTTGAAGGCAATTTGAAGGGAACTCAAGGGCAATTCGAAAGCAATTCGAAGGCAATTTGGAGGCCACATGACAAGATTCAAAGGCAATTCGGAGGCCACATGACAAGATTCGAAGACAATTCGAAAGTCATGAGTCGAAGGCAATTCGGAAGTCACGATTTGAAGGCAATTCGGAGGTCAGATGCCACGATTCGAAGGCAATTCGTAGATCCCCATGCCACTGACTTACACCAAAGCAAACCATTTCGAATTATCCTCCAGAAATTCGCGTCGCCTGTCACATCCACGTAGCAATAAATTACATAGGCGTAGCATTAGCACAGAGAAATTCACAGCAACCCGAAATTTGACATTTCCGGGAGAAATTACTGAATCTTCATCTAGTCTCTGTGTTTTTCCACTCGTCTTAAAGATCTTTTATTTTGCACAGAGATCCGTCATTTAATAATGACTAAATAAATAAATAAATAAATAAATAAATAAATAAATATATATATATATATATATATATATATATATCGAGAATGGAATAACATGCTGTTTTCGTTGAAAAGATGCTGTTCCAGTAATTCCCGACGAAGAAGTAATTGCGCCGGAGCCGGATTTCGAAAGTTCCGTGGAACAGGGACAGGCAAGTGTGCGGAAGGACTGCGGGGCTTTAGGAGATCTAAAAAATTGGTAAATAGGTAGGGACTAGCCGCAGCCACTTTGTGTCCTCGACAATGAACGGTTCTGCCCGTAAAATGGAGCAGCGGTCTCGAAAGGACGAGGAGGCTCATAAAGACACGCAGAGGCCACTCGGCGCGGCTGCTATACGCAAAACAATTTCCGAGGACGGTCTACAAAGTAGCAAGATAATCGAGGCAACTTTTAGCGTCGATGCGTTGCCGCGCCGGCCCTCTCCGAGCTTTGTAGGGCGTGTTTGGCTAGGTTACACAAAGGATGGGTCCCTCTCTCTCTCTCTCTCTCTCTCTCTCTCTCTCTCCCCCATCCTCGTGAGAGGGAGTGCGCTCTCTCTGGCTGTGTCGGGTCTCGTAGTGGTTGCACACCCACTAGAGTCAGCTGGCTCGGCACCGCGTCTAAGATTATGTTTGTACTCGCTGTCAGCAGAGAATCATCATTTTCGGTGATACAGAACCAACCCGGAGCCGTGGCTCTAATGTTTGCGGTTTCTCGGTCAGGGCTGCGCGCGTCGTGCTGGAAAATCATCTTTAACGGAGGCTCAGACGGTAATGCGAATGCAGGTCGGCGATGGGAGCAGCCCGTTTACCTTTAATTAACACTTCGGCTGCCTATCGGGCGACTTCCGAAGTTTCGTAGATTTCGGACGAATTATTTCATCCCCTGCGTTGCGATTTTCTTTTTGATAACGATGTAATTGCGTTGGCAATTTTTTGTTGTCAATGATGGATTCGCGGAGCATCGAAAACGGCTGTTTTTATAGTTGTTTATGAAAGTGACAGCAAGACATTTGTTTCGATTTTTATATAATTTAATGTAATTGATTTTATTGGATAACCCGTAAAATGGACTGCGGATTTTATGAATTTATTGTAAAAATGGCGAAACGATGGGCACAGTGTTGAAGACGCAAGGAGAATTTGCAAAATACTGTCGCATTATTTTCATCGTATTGACATTGTTAAACGAAGAAATAAATATTTTTATCTGACTTCTGTTTCATATAATCGATTAGGAAAATGTTTTATTCTGCACAAAGAACCGCAGTCTACTCATAAATGTATCTTTGCAATCCGAATAATCGTGAATTGAAAAATCGCAAATTTGACGGAATTTCTCAATTGACTTCCGTTCCTTTCGATTCTGTACAACAGAAGAATCAAATATCGTTTCGATTTAATAGAAACGAATAACGTTGTTTATTTCGTAAAATTCAGTTCTTCATATCTCAAAATTTAGTTGTCCATTTTCCTTTTTCAATTCAGTTCTTCATATTTCAAAATTTAGTTGTCCATTTTTCTCTTTTAATTTAATTCTTCGTATTTGAAAATTTAGTTCTTCATATTTCAAAATTTAGTTGTCCATTTTTCTTTTTCCATTTAATTCTTCACATATTTGAAAATTTAGTTGTCCACTTTTCTCTTTTAATTTAATTCTTCGTATTTCGAAATTTAGTTCTTCATATTTGAAAATTCAGTTTATTTTTTTACGAAACATATTTGGAACGCGAATTCCACGTTGCCCGCGATCGGAGGGTCGAACTGTCAGACGGGCATACGCGAGATATATCTGACGATAACTTCTATTAGTGTGTTAATCGGGGCCGTTTCAAAAATGATTTCCTCGTTTCGACCGGATCGCAGCCGCGTTCCGGCAATACGGTATATTTGATAAATTCGATATTGCTAAAGTGCAGAGCACGTCAGATTATGGACATTTCACCGAAATTCGGATAATCGAGGATCTACTGAATCGATGGACGCGTCCGTACAAATCAACAGCTCCGGATCGTTATCGTTGAACGGCGAACAAAAGCATGTGGCAATTCGTCGTGGATTATCACCGCGACGCGGAGTCGCCAAAGAGAAACGTTTATTTCACGTTTTCAACTGCAGCAGCACACGTTTGCGATGATAATACATACATTGAAAGAAGCATAATCTCTATTGGTCGATTGCGTTGGTTCGACGCGTTACTGTAGCATCGGCAATTTTTGTTAACGATGTAATACATTGTTAACATTTGCGTAACGCAAAGTTACGACTTACGATCGGCGAATTAATAAAGAAATCGGCATAACGTTGTTGTCGCTTGTATATTAGCGAAGACGTTGGCAATAATGTTGTCGTCACTTAGCGAATTAATAAAAAATAAAGTCGGTGTAACATTATGCCACCTAGTAAATTAACGGAAAAGTAGGCGTAACATTGCTTTCTCTTGTTCGATCAACATAGAAATTGGCTTAACGTTGTTGTCGCTCATAATAAATTAACGATTGACAAAAAATGATATTAATAATCGAGAATCATGCGTTACGCAATATACACAGCAGTATATTTTATAATAAAGAAGCCATTATCGTGAGCATATTTTTAAATCAAAGGCTCGTGCATTTATGGTAGTTTGTGAAATGCATGAAAATATTCCTGAAGTCATTTGAGGCAACTTTTTCCTGAGCGAAAATGCAATCCGCGGCTTCGTTTACGAGTTATTAACGAGAAACAGCGCTGACCATGAGAGATCGCGTACGACTGACGCTCCGCCCTCGCGATCACTACCGCTGCGTCATACGGCCGGCGCGACGCGGCATTGGCCGCAGTGGCGGAGCGCCGACCGCGCTCGCTCTCCGATTGGTCAGCGTTTTTCGTTAATAATTCGTAAACTAAGCTTCGTAGAACATTTTCGCTAAGGAAAAAGTTGCTTCAAATGACCTCAGGAATCTTTCCGGATTGCGAAACATTTCTGAAACACTTTGAATATTCATTAATTTGCGCAAAGATCCTCGTACTCAATTTATAACTAATAATTTCGAAGTCCTTACAACGATTGTTTTTAAAATCCCATAAAATTGCATCGAAGACTGGCTGTTCCGAATGTTTGAAAAGCCACGCCCCGAATCTTCTCGGACGAATAGAAGAAGAAGAAGCAATCGTTTCCCAGAACCAGGAAGATTTATCCGAACCGAGCCGGCAGAGAATGTAAATAATTCCGTGGCTCTCGACGGGCAGCAGTTCG